GCACTTTAGGCTCAGTCGCTGTGAAATGTTTTTATGCACACTTCGCAGCACCATCTTGTTGGTGTTGTTGCCATTTATAGGTTACGATGAGTTGCACCAGCAGAACACCGATGTAGAATTTTTTTTAATATTTAAACTAAAGGCCTCAATCTTTCCAGGGAGCTGATGAATTTTCCTGCAGCACAACTTCCTCGCCATTTCGATGCTCGCAAGCGATGGCCTCTGTGTTCCTCGATACATGATGTGCCGAATCAGGGTGGATGTGGATCCTGTTTTGTTCGTGCTTTTTTAGCCTGCTTTTCTGCCAAAAATTGATAGGCTCGGACTTTAGTGACCAGGCATTGTTGCCTGTCTTTTGAAGTGACTGTATGCTTTGGTTGATTCAACTGTCAAATTCTGCAGCTTACCTGAAAAGTGTTTTAGCATATGTAATATTTTCAGTCAATTTTTTGCTACTGAGCCACTCCCAAAATTTTCTACCAATTTTGGCATTTGCTGAGTTAAATTTTTCATTGCATTGTTTAAAACGTTTTTTAACTCAATTAACATTTGTGATTTCTGACCAAAACTTCTACGGCAGAATTCCACTCGTTCCGCCTCCGCAGTTTTTGCAAAATTTTTGTGGAATATTTTCTTATCCAGCATTTTTTTGATGGAGAAAACATGCTACTCGCTCGAGAACCATCCCTGTTCGCTTCAGTGCAGCACAGCGAATAACGAATCTGCTCAAAGCACTGATTTGCAGGCAGTAGCAGTAGCAGGAGTAGCGTCGGATCGCAGCTGTATAGCAACAAACGGTAGCATGCAGGTTAAGCTCAGTGCCGAGGACATCATCGGATGCTGCCCCGCATGTGGCGATTGCTATGGCGGTGATCCACTCAAAGCATTCGTCTATTGGGTAAACGAAGGACTCGTCACTGGTCAGTTTTTGCTTCTGCGCAGAGTAAAGAGGAATCAAAACGATTGTGCGGACAGCCGGGATGAGTTAAAGCATATTATTGATGTTTACTGAGATGATTCCACAGGTCAGGCATAACTACTCAAGGCTCTCAGCTCAAGTGAAGTGAAGTAAAATATTTGAATACGTTCAGTATTCCTGATGAATGAGTTTAGTGACGCATCAGTTGCTCTGTATTCATATAACTGCGCTTTTTCCCTGTCTAAGACGCCACATCAAATTCCATTTTTTTTCCTCCGTCTGTTTTCCGGAAAATTCCAAAAAAAGTCAAAATTTCGCCAAAATTCACGTTTCTGAGTTTTTCAAGCTTGTTTTTTTAAAAATAATTTACCTTTGCACAGGCTCTTCAAAAAGTTGCATTGGGCACGACACTGACGTAAAGTAATGTCGGGAAACGCCACTTATTTTTCCTGCATCGCTTGTTCTGTATTGATTCCAATCTTGCTCCCAATCCTAAATGAACTAAGTCAAACTCATTCTCTGCCCAACCAATCCCTAGCCACTAGTTTTCAGGCTGAGGTTATTTTTAGTCCCATTTAGCCAAAATAAGAAATAAAACAATTC